ACACACATGAACACACACACACACACACGAACACACACACACATGAACACACACACACACACGAACACACACACATGACACACACACACACATGAACACACACACACACACACACACACATGAACACACACACACATGAACACACACACACACACGAACACACACATGAACACACACACACACATGAACACACACATGAACACACACACACACACACACACATGAACACACACACACACATGAACACACACATGAACACACACACACACACACACACATGAACACACACAAGAACACACACACACACACACATGAACACACACATGAACACACACACACACACGAACACACACATGAACACACACACACACACATGAACACACACATGAACACACACACACACACACACACACACATGAACACACACACACACACACACATGAACACACACATGAACACACACACACACACACACACATGAACACACACACACACATGAACACACACATGAACACACACACACACACACACACATGAACACACACACACACAGAACACACACACACACACACACACACACACACACACACATGAACACACACACACACACACACACACACACACACACACACACACACACGAACACACACACACACACGAACACACACACACACATGAACACACACACATGAACACACACACACGAACACACACACATGAACACACACACACGAACACACACATGAACACACACACATGAACACACAGACACACACACATGAACACACACACATGAACACACACACATGAACACACACACACATGAACACACACACACGAACACACACAGACACATGAACACACACACACAGACACAGTGAAGCACTTCCTGTTTTCCCACATGACATCACAAGGTGGAACAGAGTGTTTTCTGTTTGTTTGAGAGAAGAACTCAGTCTAAATCTGCAGGTTTATGAGTTAAAAATGTCTGAATGAAACAAAACACAACTCCAGATGTGTGTGTGACGAGGAAATACAGAACAAATCATAAAATAATACATTACGACCGCACAAACTGAGCTGAGCTCAGGATTCCAAGTTAAATTTACCGTATTTCATACACTATTAGTCGCTCTGGATTATAAGACGCACTGTCATTAAATGGTCTGTTTTTGAACTTTTTTCACAAATAAACGGCGTGGGACTTTAAATGAAACCCAACAGTGTGATGGGTGAGTGGTTTTGTTTGTTTGTTCGTTCACGGTGACTCTGGGCTTTGTTCAGTTGTGGCGTGTAGGGAGTAGTGTCTGTGTCTGGGACCAGCAGATTGTCGGCGTGTTCGCAGTGACTCAGTTGTTCAGTCGTGTCTAGAAGCGGCACGTCGCGCTCGTGGCTTTTTCGGTTCGTTCCTCCTTTCCGTTTGTGTGTTTTGTGTGTGTTTGTGTTTGTAGTTTACTGAAGTCGTGCTGGGACACCTGAGTGGGTTCGTGTATACGAGCTCTGGATTGTGGCGCGCGGCCGTTTTTTGATGGAGTTGGAGGCTTAAGAGCTCGACCTATCGTGTGGAAAATAAGGTAATCTCTAAATGCCACCACACACTACAGGATTTTTCAGTCTTAAATGATTTTTTAAACGTGTGATAAAAAGCGCCACAGACACGAGGAGAATCTGATGAGACTTAAAATCTCCACTCACAAAGTTCAAAAGATCAGACTCTGTACTGTAGTTTCGATCCAAGTCCAAACTGTCTGATTTTTATTTGTGAAATGTGGAGCAAAACTTCAGATCCAGGATTTTTAAAGCATCAAAGTTTGGAGATAAAATGTTGGGGAAGTCGAGTCACTGTGGAGAATCTGCAGCTTCAGCTCAATCTGTGCGCTGTGTGGATGGAAACAGACACACGTGACCAAACAAACTCACCTTTTTACTTTTAAACTACGACTCAAAAAACTGAAGTCACAGCTCAGACGTTTTGTGAACTGGACTCATTATTTGTGGAGCAGAAATTCTCTGGATAATGTGGATGAGACGCTGCACTTTAAATTTAACACTTTAAAGTCTTCTCATTATTTTCGCTGTTTCCTGAGTTTGTATTTTGTTTGTTTTATCGTAGCGTCGCTGATGTTTGGTCACGTCTCTCTGAACTCGAGAAGAAAATCACAGCCAAAAATCCGTCAAATTCTCCTGTAGTGTGTGAAAAGTCTCTGTCTGCACTCACTGCTGCCCCCTCGTGTTTAAATGGGCGTTTGTAGAATGTTGTGAAGTGTTTTGTGCGTCTGCGTGTGTGTTTTGTGTGTGTGTGTGTGTGTGTGTGTGTGTGTGTGTGTGTGTGTGTGTTACCATGCGGGCCTGCCTCTGCGTGCGCTCCGGTTTGCGCACGATGGTGGCGGGCGGGGCTGAGTAGACTGTGGGCGCCGCCTGGATCACGGGGGTGCTGCTGGTGGCCGCCGGAGACCCGCTGGGGTCACCCATGGGCGTCATCATGTCCCCCACCTGAGAACACACACACAGGTGACACACAAATCACACACAGAATACACAAAGATCACACACACAGAGCTGACGACTGCACACAGACTCAAGAGGCTCGTTTAAAACCACTCGTCACTTTAAAAAACACTTAGTAATTACACAGTTTCAGTCTGTTCTATGTAAACATTATTATTCTGTTTTCTATTCGCCTGATGACGTGAAAAAAGATACTAAATCGTGGCCTCAAATTACTATTTTGTTCCCATAATATGTCATTTGTTCTCATGTTTTAGCTGAATCCTTCCACGCCCGCCGAGCTCAATGTCTCATGATTCCAGATGATCATGTGATCGCTTTGACCAATCAGAGCGAGAGGAGCAGAGTGGAGCTGGAGCGAACGATTATAAAATGTTTTTTAAGACGACTGAAGGGTTTTGAGCTGAGAAAAAGTTCATGATCTAAAAATGGGTAAAAATCGCCACAAAATCCGACAAAGTTGTAGGTCCCTGTCAGACGAACACGAGCAGTTTGTGTTTACTTTGTGTTCTATGAGAAAAATCCTCTCTCGGCCCAGAGGATTTTTGTTTCCCGCTGTAGAACCACTGAGTGACACTACATCAACTGGAGGCAGAAACAAGCAGCAACACCTCCACTTATTTTAATAGATCCATGATTCGTTCCCACTTTTTAGTTAATTCGTTAAAGTGAGGTTAGAAAGTTTATTCATATTTAGAGGGATCGCTGTATTCAGGTCAAATTGGAGGGTTTTATCAGAACCGGGCGGTTTTTTAAATGAATGCCAAAGAAATGTCCGAGTGCGACTACAGATGTTACTGAAAAATAAAAATCCTTCGAGAAAAACACAAGGAGGATAAAAACTCAAACAAACGAAGCGGCCGTGGACGTGTGACCTGGACATTTTACCAACAACTGGACCAGATTTTGGGAGACGAGCACAGAGTTTAGGCAACTTCTGTAAACATGTGGGACACTTTTGGAGTGTTTAAAGTTCACACTGGAGATCACAGACAAGTCACATTTAACTGGAAATGTGAACGACCTCGCAAAAAAAAATCAGATTTCACAAAAAACCCAAACTGAGCATTAAGCCCTGCAGTCTGAACGTGGCCTGAAAGTCCAGAAAATATAGTTCCACAGAGTACACGAAGTACACAGAGTACACGAAGTACACAGAGTACATGAAGTACACAGAGTACATGAAGTACACAGAGTACATGAAGTACACAGAGTACATGAAGTACACAGAGTACATGAAGTACACAGAATACATGAAGTACCATCTAAAAAATATTTCCAGAGTCAGACCTTTTCTCTCTCAAGCCAGTGCAGAGACTTTAATACATGCTTTTATTACAAACCGTGTTGATTACTGTAATGCTCTCCTTTCTGCTCTTCCAAAGAAAAACACAGCTCCACTAAAGCTCCTCCAAAACTCTACAGCTCCTCCAAAACTCTGCAGCTCCTCCAAAACTCTGCAGCTCCTCCAAAACTCTGCAGCTCCTCCAAAACTCTACAGCTCCTCCAAAACTCTGCAGCTCCTCCAAAACTCTGCAGCTCCTCCAAAACTCTGCAGCTGCTGACGAGGAGCAGGAGGAGAGAGCACATCACCCCAGTACTGAAGTGTCTGCACTGGCTCCTGTGAGCTTCAGGATAGATTTTAAAGTTCTTTTATTGGTTCATAAATCTCTTAATGGTCTTAGTCCTATTTATTTATCTGATCTGCTTTTATCACATGAGCCTCTCGAACTCTCAGGTCCTCAGGTCTCATCTTTAACTGTCCCAAGAGTCAAAATAAAACTCACAGCTGAGGCGTCTTTTAGCTTTTACGGCCCCCGTTTGTGGAACAGTCGACCTGAGGATCTGAGGTCCGCTGTGAGTGTTCAGATTTTTAAAAGTAAACTTAAAACATATCTTTTAATTTAGCTTTTAACTGAAACTTTTACCTGTTTTAACTTAAATTATCATTATTATAGTTGTTTTAAATTAAATCATCATTACTATTTTACTTAGTCTCCATCTGATTTTAGCTCTACATTTTCATATTTACTATAACTTTAAAGAGCTTTATGTGTATTAATTTTTTTAGTTTTTATGTTTCTGTTTAAATTGTCATATATATGGGGGGGGGTTAATTAATGTATTGAAATTTTTCTGTTGCATGTGAAGCACTTTCTGCTACATTTCAAATGTATGAAAACTGCTACACAGATAAAGTTTGATTGATTGATTGATGTACACAGAGTACACAGAAGTACATGGAGTACACAGAATACACAGAGTACACACAGAGTACACAGAGTACACACAGAGTACATGAAGTACACAGAATACACAGAGTACACACAGAGTACACAGAGTACACACAGAGTACATGAAGTACACAGAGTACACAGAGTACACACAGAGTACACAGAGTACAGGCGGCTGCTCTCACCCCCGCTGTGACGCTCAGGTGCTGGATGGGCTGGGTCACCTGCGTCTGGCTCTGGAGGGGAGGCGCCACCATCATGGGCGGAGGAGGCGGGGGCGGGGCAAGGGCGGGGCCATGGGCAGCCGAGTCCCTACGACACACACACACACAGGTCACAGGTCACGTGAAACGCCTGACAGCCAATCAGAAACAACACTGTAACCCCGCCCCCCTCCCCCCCGAGCCACAGGGGGCGCACTCACCGGGCCGCTGCAGGATGTGAGGCACGAAGGCCGGACGCATCATGGGAGGAGGAGCTCGAACTGACCACGAACAACGACAAGAACAACAAAGGTCAGAGACAAACATGAAAACACACCGAGTTTTACTGTTAGAACTGAACTACAGAACCCACTTCTATCATTTCTGTAATATTTTCATTTCTGAGAGAGTTATTCCTATTTTGTTTGAGTTAATATGTATTTAAAACATATGATTTTTGGTAATTCTGGTCATTCTTTATGGCTGACATAAATATTTGCTGATTATTTTTTCATTCAATTCATTATAACTAAGTTTACCTCAGTATTGTTTATTTTTTGTATTATTTTGTGTCTGTGGCTCTTTATTTAAGACGACCTCGCGCTGCTCCGTCTCACACTACGTCTCCTCAGATCATCACAGCTCATCTCATTCTGTGAACATGTGAGTGAAGTTCTACCTGGAGCCACGAAGGTCGGTCCTGGAGGTCCCACGAAGCTTGCAGCCCGGGCCTCCAGAGTCTGCTGGACCTGCACACCACAAACACAGATTTGACTGAGAACTATTCTAATGCAGATTTGTTGGTAATGACAAAAACATTGGACTTGTTGCTGGAGTTGGAGCAGCTCATGTTAGAATCTGGTGCAGAATGAGCCTCACATGAGACTCAGTTTTAAATCCAGTGAGTTTAAACCTAAAATGTGTCTCTGATCTGATGGTCTCCCTCTAAACCCCAGCACCTGCACCAGCCTGAGTCAGTGCTAGTGCAGCCTCTGCAGCTCAGGAAGGGAATTCAGGAGGTTCTGAGCTTCTCATGAGCCTGAACATGAACTGAGCCTGAGACCTGGATGATGTGTCTGTCTATTTTAGTACATTTTTATAAAACAGTAACTTTACGTTCAGTCTGCAGCCTGAAGTGACTCTAATCAATTTTTTTTGTCTCTATGTTCCTGTATCTGATCTTTTAATGACAGTCTGAACCACACAGATCCGATTTGTTCAAATGTGACCCAGGACACTTGGATCTGTGCTCCTAAAACCCTTTTGAGATGTGACTTCACTCTGAACGGTCAAGTCACATTCATCCACCAACATCACCACATCAACAAGCGACAAACGTCACTATTCTGCGCTGAAGTAGGAGGAAACCGGTGATGTTGCCGACACTGTCCCACAAAACACCACGACCAAAAACCTGGTCCTTCTCCTTCTCAATCTCCTCCTTAAAACAAGTCAGTTGTTCATGTTCTGGCTCAGGCACGAGAGGAACTTTAAAATCTCCAGGTGCTCGATGCTGCGTCCACGTTTAGTGTCCTCCAGTGTCACATGTGGGACACTTTTGGGGCGTTTAATGTTCACACTGGAGTCACACACAAGTCACATTGAACTGGAAATGTGAACGACCTCGCAAAAACATCTTAGTTCACAAAAAAATCTGAATTGAGTGTTAAACCCTGCAGTCTGAACGTAGCCTGAGAATACAGACTTTATACAGCTCCTTTAGTTGCTGAGAGAACCTGGTGTGTAGCTGAGAGCAGAGGACTGACCTGCTGAGAGGTGTTGGTGTGTGTGTCGGTGTGAGTGTCGGTGTGAGTGTCGGTGTGAGTGTCGGTGTGAGTGTCGGTGTGAGTGTCGGTGTGAGTGTCGGTGTGTGTCGACGTCGGTGTTGGTCTCACCTGTTGGTAGGTGTTGGTACCGATGATGGGTCGTACCATGGGCACAGCGAGGGCCATGGGCACAGCCTCCATCACCGAGGGGCCTCCAGCGACGGGGCCCCCGAGCACCTCCTGCTCAAAGCTGCAAACACACACAGTCAGTGATCAGTGGAAGCAGCAAAGGTCCCCCAAACCAGAAGGTCAAAGGATCATTCCCACTGTCATCATGTAATAGGCCAAAAACTTCACCCAGATTCTCCAGGATGAAAATGAAGCGTGTGTGTGTGTGTTGCTGTGGCTACAGTAATACCTCACCAATTTAAGTAGTTAATACTTAAAATTTAAGTACTTTGGATATGAATATTATGAATATTATTACAGACAGAAAGGCAGAGAGATTCACAATCAGAACACTCACAGGGCCATCTCAGCCTCCATCTCCTTGAGCCGGTCCTCGCCCATCTTTCCCGCCATCCTGAAAACACAGAACCAAAGAACTATAATCCATTGTGAGGACACAGAACCAAAGAACACGTGAATATGAAGAAGAACAGTCTGGAGCCATAAAGCAAAACGAAGAAGAAGAAAAACAGTCTGGATCTGTGTTTACAGGCGGAGATCACTGTTATAAAAGGAGCTGAAACCCTCCAGACCAGAGGTGGGGCCACATGAGAAACAGAAAATATTGTGGAGCCAAAATACTGAACTCAATTCTGCAGAATATGAATTGTATTTCTTTATAAAAATCAGTAAACACGGGTGTTGTGACGAGTTGCTCAGACTGAAGAGTTTATGTTCTGACTAAACAATGAAAAAGTAAAGCTGCCAAACAAAAAAATGTCATTAAAAACTCGTCTAAAATAAAAGCGGCTGCAGCTTTTGTCCAGGCATGAGGTCAAATGATCAAATATGTTTATTTTGTGATTCCACATGAGTTTAAACGGGCTGATTGTGGCTCTGGAGCTGCTCTGATCTGCTCCACAGCATCACTCACATGAACCTGGAGCCCAGAGAGACACACGTCCCCCAGGACAGTCCCAGTCCTGAGTCTGTGTCTCTGTCCCACAGATTTATACAAAAAACACAGATTTGTCCCAATTTATAAAAAGAAATGTCACAGTGTCTCTATTTTTGACCAATCTGATCTAAACCAGGACTAAACCAGGACCAGGTCTAAACCAGGACTAAACCAGGACTAAACCAGGTCTAAACCAGGACTAAACCAGGTCTAAAACAGGACTAAACCAGGTCTAAACCAGGTCTAAACCAGGTCTAAACCAGGTCTAGATCAGGTTTATTTCAGGTTTATATATTTTACCTGTTTCTTGTTGAACGCGCACGAGCCGCTGTTAGCACTTAGCTTTATTTAGCTTCTGCTCACACAGTATCACACTTTAACACGCTCCAAACCGCCCGGATGACAAACCTGTGGACCCGTGGAGTTTATAAATGAACAGATTCAAATAAAAGTCTTGATAAACGCGTCGGAGGAAAAGTGCAGTTTGTGTCGGATTAGCCTGTTAGCATGTTAGCATCAGAGCTTGTTGACATCTTGACTTTCTACTTCCGCCCGGTTTGCGTCACGACGCACGCTACCGCCCCCTGAAGGACAGATTTGGAACTTACACTTATTAAACTATTGATCCACAAGGAAACAGGAGTCACACATCACAATATAATATAATAACAAAGACAAAAAATATATAAATGGTCATAATAAATTCTAAATAAATTGCAAAAAAGAGCAAGAGACAAATAAGACATAATTATATAAATGTAAATGTACAAGTAAAAATAAAAGAATCAATTTGAACATTTTCTCAGTGTTTATCTGAGTCACTCTGTTCTAAAGTTAATTTAACATTTTGGAAATGTTAATGAAGTAAAACTGGACCAAAGTTCCTGTTTAACGTCAAACCCAGAGTTATATGAACGTTTAGAGAGTAAACAGATAACACTTTGTAGAGTTATCCTGATTTAACTCAACAACACACAGAGGTGTTTTATTTTGACACTTTATTTGAGTTAACTTAAGATGAAATTATGAACAAAACTGGTTCAAACTGCTTCTTCTCTGGAGGGAGTTTGAAGTGAGGAGACAAATTAACACTAAGAGAAGTTAAATTAACTTCAGCCAAATCAACTCTGAGAAATAACCCCAACTCCAACACACATTTAACTTTCAAAGAGTTAAAATAACACTTTTTGTGTTAAAACCAACTCTGAAATATTTTATTCTGAAATTTTAACCCTCCAGTTTCTGTTGTGTAATAAAATATAAAGTTTCAGCTTTACAAAAGACGTCAGTTTAACAATGATCTGATGATCTGTGAGTTATCAGTTTATGTTTATGAAACCACACAAAATGAATGAAGAAACAAACTTTTATTTATCAGAACAGAATCGATAAGAGACTGAATAAACTCCAGAGGCTGAAACGTTCCAGAAAAGAGGCAACAATGAAGGAACTGAAACCTCTGTAAAACTTTTATTTTAAATTCCATAAACTGTGACCAGTTTCCCCAAGATCTGAAGTAAACAAAACATGTTCAGAGGAGATATATTTAATGCTGATTTATTATTAATAACAAAAAACATTGGTCATTTTTTGGTGTCTTGGTTCAAAAAGCAAAATGAGGTTTCAACATTTTAACGATTTTGCTGTAGAGTTTTACAATAATGGTTAAGTTTTCGAGTTTTATTGAGGTTAAACGTCTCATATCAAACAAAACTGACACATGTGAACTTTAAATCATGTTCTGATGTTGTTTCCTCCTCAAAATCAGAGCTGGAGTTGTTTTGTTTCATTCACGTTTTATTAACTCTTTATATAAGTCTCCAAAGCTCCAAACGCTCTGTTCCACCTTGTGATGTCATGACTTTTAGCTTTAGTTCAGTAGAGACTGGCAACTCCAGGAGTGAAACGATCCAAATGATTTTAACAAAACACAACTCCAGGTTTGTTTGTGACGAGAAAACGACATTAGAACATATCAAAAATAAAAAATAAAAAGTAAATTTTGCAGAATATTTCCTCTTTAAAATTGTAGTTTCAGTTTTCAAAGTAGATAAAACAAAACAGCTGCAGCGTGAAGGACACAACAGAACTAAAAATCATTTCTATTATTATTTTTTTATTCAAATTAGACACGGCTCTATATTATTCTCTCTGTTATTTTTACACCAGTGCTGCCGTCACTTTACACTTTCACTTAAATAGTTTACAAAAACACTTCTTCTTTACAAAGGCACAGTGCAGTTTTTTTGTGTTTTTTCGTGGTTTTTCACGTCTGAGCCTCGAGCGTCTCCACCGCAGAACGTCCACTGAAGATCACGTCGTTCACCGAGACGCCGTCGTACGAGGAGCCGACCAGAGACAACGGCAAACGAGCCTCATCGATGAAGCCGCGCATCTGATCTGTGACGACACGAGGACACGAGTGAGGAAGAGCAGGAGGAGGAGGAGGAAGAGGAGGAGGAGGAAGAGGAGGAGGGGGAAGAGGAGGAGAGGAGGAAGAGGAAGGAGGAGGAGGAAGAGGAGGAGGAAGAGGAGGAAGAAGAGGAAGAGGAGGAAGAGGAAGAGGAGGAGGAAGAGGAGTAGGAAGAGGAAGAGGAGGAGTAGGAAGAGGAAGAGGAGGAGGGGGAAGAGGAGGAGAGGAGGAAGAGGAAGGAGGAGGAAGAGGAGGAGGAAGAGGAAGAAGAGGAAGAGGAGGAGAGGAGGAGGAGGAAGAGGAGGAGGAGGAGGAGGAGGAGGAGGAGGAGAGGAGGAGGAGGAGGAGAGGAGGAGAGGAGGAGGAGAGGAGGTGGAAGAGGAGGAAGAGAGGAGGAGGAAGAGGAGGAGGAAGGAGGAGGAGGAGGAGGAGGAGGAGGAGGAGGAGGAGGAGGAAGAGGAGAGGAGGAGGAGAGGAGGAAGAGGAGGAGAGGAGAGGAGGAGGAGGAGGAGAGGAGGAAGAGGAGGAGGAGGAGGAGGAGGAGGAGGAGGAGGAGGAGGAGGAGGAGGAGAGAGGAGGAAGAGAGAGGAGGAGAGAGGAGAGGAGAGGAGGAGGAAGAGGAGGAGGAGAGGAGGAGGAGGAGGAGGAGGAAGAGGAGGAAGAGGAGGAGGAGAGAGGAGGAGAGGAGGAGGAGAGGAGAGAGGAGGAGGAGAGGAGGAGGAGGAGGAGGAGGAGGAGGAGGAGGAGGAGAGGAGGAGGAGAGGAGGAGAGAGGAAGAGGAGGAGAGGAGGAAGAGGAGGAAGAGGAGGAGAGAGGAGGAGGAGGAGAGGAGGAGGAGGAGAGGAGGAGGAGGAGGAGGAGAGAAGGAGGAGAGAAGAGGAGGAGAGGAGGAGGAGGAGGAGGAAGAGGAGGAGAGGAAGAGGAGAGGAAGGAGAGAGAGGAGGAGAGAGGAGAGGAGAGAGGAGAGGAAGGAGGAGGAGGAGAGGAGGAGAGGAGGAGGAGAGGAAGAGGAGGAGGAGGAGGAAGAGAGGAGAGGAGGAGGAAGAGGAGGAGAGGAGAGGAGGAGGAGAGGAGGAGGAGAGGAGGAGGAGGAGAGGAGGAGAGGAGGAGGAAGAGGAGGAGGAGAGGAGGAAGAGGAGGAAGAGGAAGAGGAAGAGGAGGAGGAGGAGAGGAGGAGGAGTAGGAAGAGGAGGAGGAAGAGGAGGAAGGAGGAGTAGGAGGAAGAGGAGGAGGAGGAAGAGGAGGAGGAAGAGGAAGAGGAGGAGTAGGAGGAGGATATCAGGAATCAGGAAAGGAGAGAATGAGAAGAGGGGAATGTGAGGAGAAAAAGGGAAGAAAGAGGTCTGGAAATGAGAAGGAAGGGAGGAAGAGGAGAGGGTAGAAGGAGAGGAAGAGGGCGTCTGAGGAGAAGGTCTGGATTAAGGGAGGAGAAGTGGAGGAGGAGAACACGAGAGAAGGATTAGAGTAGAAGGTCTGGAGAGCAGGAGGAGAGCAGGAGAAGGTCTGGACTGATGGAGGAGCAAACAAGGAGGAGGAAGAGGAGAGGAGGAGGAGAGGAGGAGGAGAGGAGGAGCAGTGGTAAAAACAGTAGAAGACTTACTGACTCTCTGTGCGTGTCCCAGGTGATACTGGGGGATACAGTCCTGAGGAGAGGAACAACACAAACAGACTCAGTGAAACTCTTCATAGGCTGAGATGAAATGAAGAAGAAATGGGAAAAATGGACGTTATATATGCAAAAGTAGAATATTCAAGTGTCACCTAGGCTTCTGTTTCTGTTTTGATTTCCTTTTATTATTATTATTATTATTATTTCTCCTCTTTTTTCTATCTTCTTGTTATGTTTATAAATTTGTCAAATACAATAAAAATAAAGTGATTAAAAAAAAGAAACTCTTTCTGCAGACCTTATCACAACTTTTCAGAAACTGAGGTAAAATTATAAAATATGTTTATTTTGTAAAAAATATTTTTAAACGGGCCAATCAGAGTCAAACAAAAGAGCCGAACGAAGCCCCAGAGCTGCACAAGGCTCAGGTCTGATTTAGAAAATAATTTATCAAAGTAAATAACTTATAATCATGGAGGAATTAGAATTTTTGTCGTAATAATCTTCCAAAACAATAAAGTTTTTGTTCTTGTGAGTCCTGAATGTTCAGAGGATTTGTTTTTCCAGAACCGAAAATGTTTTCAGTTCAGAAAAACTTTTGTGAATGAAAAAAACTGTTTGTAAGAAGAAGTTAAATACAAATCTGTGTCATGAATCATGCACAATAAGAAGAATAATACAACTCCAGTATTTTGTGTGTTGTTTTTGTGTCTGTGTGTTTTTGTCTGTGTGTGTTGTGTAGTGGTGAGTGTGTTGTGTTGCTGTGAGTGTGTATCAGTGTGTGTGAGTGTGTGTTGTGTGTCTGCATGTGTGTGTTTCTGTTGTGTATCAGTGTGTGTGTGTTGTGTGTTACAGTGAGTGTGTGTCTGTGTGTGTCTGTGTGTGTTGTGTTGTAGTGAGTGTGTTGTGTGTCTGCATGTGTGTGTTTCTGTTGTGTATCAGTGAGTGTGTGTGTGTGTTGTGTAGTGGTGTGTGTGTTGTGTATCAGTGAGTGTGTGTGTTGTGTTGCTGTGAGTGTGTGTGTGTCTGTGTGTGTGTTGTGCAGTGGTGTGTGTGTTGTGCAGTGGTGTGTGTGTTGTGTTGCTGTGAGTGTGTGTGTGTGTTGTGTTGCTGTGAGTGTGTGTGTGTGTCTGTGTGTGTGTTGTGCAGTGGTGTGTGTGTTGTGTTGCTGTGAGTGTGTGTGTGTGTGTGTTGTGTATCAGTGAGTGTGTGTGTGTGTCTGTGTGTGTGTTGTGCAGTGGTGTGTGTGTTGTGTTGCTGTGAGTGTGTGTGTGTTGTGTATCAGTGAGTGTGTGTGTTGTGTTGCTGAGTGTGTGTGTGTCTGTGTGTGTGTTGTGCAGTGGTGTGTGTGTTGTGTTGCTGTGAGTGTGTGTGTGTGTTGTGTAGTGGTGTGTGTGTTGTGTTGCTGTGAGTGTGTGTGTGTGTTGTGTAGTGGTGTGTGTGTTGTGTTGCTGTGAGTGTGTGTGTGTGTGTTGTGTTGCTGTGAGTGTGTGTGTGTGTTGTGTAGTGGTGTGTGTGTTGTGTGTGTGTGTGTGTGTGTGTGTGTGTGTGTGTGTGTGTGTGTGTGTGTGAGTGTGTGTGTGTGTTGTGTGTGTGTGTGTGTGTGTGTGTGTTGTGTGTGAGTGTGTGTGTGTGTGTGTGTGTTTGTGTGTGTGTGTGTGTGTGTGTGTGTGTGTGTGTGTGTGTGTGTGTGTGTGTGTGTGTGTGTGTGTGTGTGTGTGTGTGTGTGTGTCTGTGTGTGTGTTGTGTGTGTGTGTCTGTGTGTTGTGTGTGTGTGTGTAGTGTGTGTGTGTGTGTTGTGTGAGTGTGTGTGTGTGTGTGTGTGTGTGTGGTGTTGTGTTGTGTGTGTGTGTGTGTGTGTGTTGTGTGTGGTGTGTGTGTGTGTGTGTGTGTGTGTGTGTGTGTGTGTGTGTGTGTGTGTGTGTGTGTGTGTGTTGTGTGTGTGTGTGTGTGTGTGTGTGTAGTGTGTGTGTGTGTGTGTGTGTGTGTGTGTGTGTGTGTGTGTGTGTGTGTGTGTTGCTGTGAGTGTGTGTGTGTTGTGTAGTGGTGTGTGTGTTGTGCAGTGGTGTGTGTGTTGTGTTGCTGTGAGTGTGTGTGTGTGTTGTGTTGCTGTGAGTGTGTGTGTGTGTTGTGCAGTGGTGTGTGTGTGTGTTTACCCGGTGCAGTGCCACGTTGCTCCACAGGGGGCGCTCTCTGATGCCCAGGTGTCGTTTCACCGCAGACTCGGCTGTGGACAGGAGCAGGTCTGGACTCACCTGGTCCGGGTCTCCAAAAACCTCCTGGAACCAGGCCCCGCCCATCATCACCTGCCAGAGACAGCGGCAAGCAAACCGAGCACCTCCTGTAAAACTCTGACTTACAAGGATTTTTCTTTCTGTTTATGACTTTGTTTTGTTTCCACACAGAAGAAGCAGACGTGAGGCAAGATCTGTGCAATTATGTAATCACCAAAAATCTTAAATAACTGAATGATTTTATGTTCTTTGTCTTTCTCTCAGGTGACGTTCATGATGAAGCTCCTGAAATGGTTTCACTTCTCGGCTGTGGCTCAGGGTGGAGCCCTGCACCCGAGGGACCCGACATGAAACATTCTGAAAGCTCAATGCGGCTGAGGACGAGAACTAAACCTAAGAGTAAAATAAAACAAATGATTCATGTTTGTCTCATTCATCATTTGTGCTGGAGATTTGATTTGGCCTTAATAAAAACATTTTAAGGAGACTAAACTTGCGGACGTGGTTTAATCTCACACTTTTTCCTTTTTGCTTCTCTGTGTTTGACAGAGTTTAATCCTGCGGGATTTGTGGACAGAGGCGGGAATGAAAACTACAGCAGAAAAAAGATAAATGTCCAACTCAGAACTCGGCCTCAGGGTCAACAAAGGCCCAGAGTGTGAACACGGTTCAAATCAAAGGGTAAAGTGTTTTTATAGATTTGTAAAAATAGAACAGGTTTGGAGCTCGTCTGAGTTTATTTTTGTTTCCTACATTCCACATGTCCTCACTCTCTGTGAGGCGGGTACTCACCGTGAGGCGGGTACTCACCGTGAGGCGGGTACTCACCGTGAGGCGGGTACTCACCGTGAGGCGGGTGCTCTCTGTGCCGGGGCTGTTGTGTTCAGGGAAGAACACAGAGTCATAGACGACGCCAAGCACCCCGGGGTCCTCCCACGACGGCAACAGGTGCCCAAAACCCTGAGGGACAAAAGAACCACAGAACTTCAGAGGAGAAGAGAGGAGAGGGTACATGTTGCGGTGAGGACATGTTGGGGTGAGGACATGTTGCGGTGAGGACATGTTGGGGTGAGGACGTGTTGTGGTGAGGACGTGTCAGGGTGAGTACATGTTGCGGTGAGGACATGTTGGGGTGAGGACGTGTTGCGGTGAGTACGTGTTGCGGTGAGTACGTGTCAGGGTGAGTACATGTTGCGGTGAGGACATGTTGTGGTGAGGACATGTTGGGGTGAGGACGTGTTGTGGTGAGGACGTGTCAGGGTGAGTACATGTTGCGGTGAGGACATGTTGTGGTGAGGACATGTTGTGGTGAGTACTTGTTGCGGTGAGTACTCGTTGCGGTGAGTACTTGTTGCGGTGAGTATGTGTCAGGGTGAGTACTTGTTGCAGTGAGTACTTGTTGCGGTGAGGACATGTTGGGGTGAGTACTTGTTGCGGTGAGTACTTGTTGCGGTGAGTACTTCTTGCGGTGAGTACATGTTGGGGTGAGGACATGTTGTGGTGAGGACATGTTGCGGTGAGTACTCATTGCGGTGAGTACCTTCTCGGGTGAGTACATGTCAGGGTGAGTACATGTCAGGGTGAGTACCTTCTTGGGTGAGTACATGTCAGGGTGAGTACCTTCTCGGGTGAGTACATGTCAGGGTGAGTACCTGTCAGGGTGAGTACCTTCTTGGGTGAGTACCTTCTTGGGTGAGTACATGTCAGGGTGAGTACATGTCAGGGTGAGTACCTTCTGGGTGAGTACATGTCAGGGTGAGTACATGTCAGGGTGAGTACATGTCAGGGTGAGTACATGTCAGGGTGAGTACATGTCAGGGTGAGTACCTTCTCGGGTGAGTACATGTCAGGGTGAGTACCTTCTCGGGTGAGTACATGTCAGGGTGAGTACCTTCTCGGGTGAGTATATGTCAGGGTGAGTACCTTCTCGGGTGAGTACATGTTAGGGTGAGTACCTTCTCGGGTGAGTATATGTCAGGGTGAGTACCTTCTCGGGTGAGTACATGTCAGGGTGAGTACCTTCTCGGGTGAGTACATGTCAGGGTGAGTACCTTCTCGGGGAGCACTGAGCCTTGATACTCCAGGTTGACGACGCCCACGGTGACGTAGGGCACCTGCCGCAGGAGACTCACCAGAGACTGACAGGAGACGGGCAGGAGCTCCGCCAGGGCTGAGGACACGACAGGGACACGGACAGGTGAGACAGGTGAGACAGGTGCAGAGGGGACAGGTGAGACAGGTGCAAGTGAGACAGGTGCAGAGGGGACAGGTGAGACAGGTGAGACAGGTGCAGAGGGGACAGGTGAGACAGGTGCAAGTGAGACAGGTGCAGAGGGGACAGGTGAGACAGGTGAGACAGGTGCAGAGGGACAGGTGAGACAGGTGCAAGTGAGACAGGTGCAGAGGGGACAGGTGCAGGTGAGACAGGTGAGACAGGTGCAGGTTTTACCTTTGGCCGGCAGAGCAGAGATGATGTGATCCACAGACACGTCCCCGTCCTCTGTGTGGATCTACAGAGGACAGACACACAATTAATGTCCTACAGGAGACAGGAGGAGACAGGGACAGACAGGGACAGACGGGGACGGACGGGGACAAACAGGGACAGACAGGGACAGACAGGGACAGACAGGGACAGACAGGGAGGTGTATTTGTCGTGACAGGTGTTGGTGTCTCACCGTCCATCCGGCAGGTGAGTGTTCCAGGCCCCTGACAGGTGCTCGTGTGCGCAGGTGCACGGTGCGGTCCTGCTCCAGCCTCTGCACCAGAGCGTCAGGGAGCACCTGCACGCCCCTGCGCAGGGACCACTGAGCCCAGCCCTCCCTCTGAGCCCTGAGAGCCAGGGGCCCCGGGGCCACGTCAACACTGGGCCCTGCGCACACAGAGAGCAGATAATACTCCCTACAACTGTACAACACACACACACAGCAGATAATACTCCCTACAACTGTACAACACACACACACACCAGATAAAATTCCCTACAACTGTACAACACACACACACACCAGATAATACTCCCTACAACTGTACAACAACTCAGATAATACTCCCTACAACTGTACAACACACACACACAGCAGATAATACTCCTTACAACTGTACAACTCGCCCTTGTGAAACAGATAATACAACTATACGACAACTCAGCCTTATGTACTGGGTTAGTTGTAGGGAGTATTATCTGTACAGTATTATGAAGCACAGACGGGCACAGACACAGACAGACACAGACAGACGGGCACAGACAGACGGGCACAGACAGACACAGACGGGCACAGACACGACAGGGCACAGACACAGACACAGACACAGACGGGCACAGACGGGCACAGACCTGAGCCCAGGATCATGCCCAGGACGACGGAGCCTCGTTGGCGCTCGGCTCGGTGCAGGTCGGGGAAACAGGCGCGGACGCTCAGTTTACGACAATCTCCGGCGAAGACTCCCCGGCACAGACTGTCCACCGCGATGTCCGCCAACTGCGCCAACCACACACACCACAGGGACGATTAAAGCTGCACTGCGGAACTTCTCCCCTACCACCTGCTCGTCTCCATGGAGATGTCACTGTTTTGTCTCTGGAATGTTCTACACTGGGATTTTTAAGCTGCACTGTGTCACTTTTCCGGTGGAGGCTCCGTCAGACGCTTTTCTCCGTGGAGTTTGTTTGTGTTGCTTTGTCTGGAATGTTCCACAGTGTAGCATTAAACTCATTTCTATCGTCACGGAGACCAAACCAGACCAAGTTCCAGGTCAGATCAGTGGAGAGGCGACTCCGCTCACTGTCACAATGTCTGTTTTTGTAGGGATTTTTGAGGTTCAGTCCTGGTTTAGTCCTGGTTTAGACCTATTTTAGACCTGGTTTTAGACCTGGTTTTAGACCTGGTTCAATTCTGGTTTAGTCCCGGTTTTAGTCTTGGTTTTAGACTTGGATTTAGTACCGATTTTAGGCCCAGTTTAGGCCTGTTTATAGTCCTAGTTTTAGTCCTGGTTTTATTCCTTTGTCTGGAATCTTCCACAGTACGACCTTTCTATCTCCATGGAGACCAAACCAGACCAAGTACCAGGTCAGATCTGTGGAGAGGCGACGCCACTCGCAGTCACAGTTTTTCCTCAGGGTTTTTGAGCTTTAAATCCTCCTGTGATTGAATAAATGTAAAGTCGCGCTGTTTAATGTGTAAAACACTGTGGAACATTCCAGACAGAGCAGTGATGTATCCATGGAAACAAGCAGGTGACGACCCTCCACCAGAAAAGTTCCACAATGCAGCTTTAAACATGTAGCATTTCTTAACTGTGAGTGTTTCTTTTGCTCAAAAATACAACAATAACTCGCTCGTTTCTCTCCTGTCAGATCCTGCAGGTTTAATCGATGCTGTGGAACATTCTAGACAAACAAAGAACATCTCCATGGAGACGTCGGGTGAAGGAAACGTCCCGCAGCGCAGCTTTAAGTGCTCGTACCTCGGGGCTGAACCTGCGGCTGACGAAGGCGTGCAGAGTCTCGTCCTCGTCCTTCCCCCGGCGCACGAACACGTCCCTGAGCAGCTGAGGCAGGAGCGGGCGCGAGAACGGCGGCGTGGTCCTCAACACGCCGCTGCGGGGGGGGCAGAGGTCAGAGGTCACGCTGAGAACACACCTCACACCACCTAACTCCGCCCACAACCACATTTCAAACAGAGAGACGCTGTGATTGGTCGAACAGGGAAACACATTTCGGTCTCCGTCTGTGATCAGGGCAGTGCTGTGTGATGTCACGTAGTACTTGAAACAGGCTCTGTTCACGATGACGTCACCGAACATGCAAACGTTTGGAAACATGTGGATGACGATCGGAAACACATCTGACGGAGATCGGAACTCTGACAAAACCTGAGAAAACTGAGAAAATGTCCCAGTTTTCTTCATCGAGATGTAATTGTTTTCTTTCTTTTTTCCTTTTGTAAATCACCTATTTAGACCCGAGTTTAGTCCTGATTTAGACCTGGTTTATGTTTAATTTTACCTTGGGTTTATTCTGGTTTTATTTTTGTAAAATTTTTGTCTTGTCTGACAAAATCTGGAAAAACTGAGAAAATGTCTTGGTTTTCTTCATGTTATTGTCGTCTTACTTTTTTTCTTTTATAAATATCCTATTTAGACCAAGTTTAGTCCTGGTTTGGATCTTGTTTAGGCCTTGTTTAACCCTTATACAGTCCTAATTTAGACCTAGTTTAGATCTAGGATAGACCTGGTTTAATCCTGTTTTAGACCTGGTTTAGGTCTAATTTGATCCTGGGTTGAATCTGGTTTTATTTTTGTCAAATTCTTGTCTTATCTGAAAAAATCTGGGAAAAGTGAGAAAATGTCCCGGTTCTCTTCACTGTATTCATTATTTTTTCCTTTTATAAATTGCCTATTCATTGTTTGTGTCTTATAATTTGTTTAATTTAATTTTTGTTAAATTATAATCATAAATTGCAGGGTGTGAAGACACTGCTGCTGAATCCTCGGTTTTATCACATGTCCACGTAGAACTGTAATAAAATCTAATAAAGATAAAAGTTTTTATTACAGATTCATGCAAGTCCAGTGTCGGGAAATACACCAGCCGTCGTCCCCCGCGCGTTTCGTTTTCCGGTGAAGGTGAACAGAGTGTGAGTTTGTTGCAGAGGCCACAGGAAGCAGCACAAACTTTAGATTTTTACAGTTTTTAAACACGAAGCTGCAAATGTGAGTCCAACATCACACAAACTGACTCCTGTGACAAGACTCAGGACACAGGGTTTGGTGCTGGTGGGGTTTAGTTCCCACTCTCAGACACGGGTGCTGGTGCCCTGTTTGTGCCGTGTTTGTTCTCTGTTTGTGCCCTGTTTGTGCCCTGTTTGTGCCCTGTTTGTACCCTGTTTGTTCCCTGTTTGTGCCCTGTTTGTTCCCTGTTTGTTCCCTGTTTGTTCCCTGTTCGTTCCCTGTTTGTTCCCTGTTTGTTCCCTGTTTGTTCCCTGTTCGTGCCCTGTTTGTGCCCTGTTTGTGCCCTGTTCGTGCCCTGTTCGTGCCCTGTTCGTGCCCTGTTCGTGCCCTGTTCGTGCCCTGTTTGTGCCCGGGTGGTGTTGTCGTCGTACCTCAGACCTCCGGGCATCTTGCAGAGTTTCCCGCGCACAAACAGGAAGCGATTCTGAGACGCCACGTGGCTGTAAGTGACCGGAAGAATCTGTGACTCCAAACCCAGATCCTCCACCTGAACAAACACACAAATATAACTACACACAAACACACAAATATAACTACACACAAACACAGCACAAACTTTGGCTGTGAATGACATAAGAGAACTTTAGACCAAAACACGAAAGTGACATTTGACCACAGACAAGACAGAGGACAGAGGACAGAGGACAGAGGACAGAGGACAGAGGACAGAGGACAGAGGACAGAGGAGAGAGGGACAGAGGACAGAGACAGAGGACAGAGGACAGAGGAGAGAGGACAGAGGACAGAGGACAGAGGACAGAGGACAGAGGACAGAGGAGAGAGGACAGAGGACAGAGGACAGAGGACAGAGGACAGAGGACAGAGGATAGAGGACAGAGGATAGAGGACAGTGGACAGAGGACAGAGACAGAGACAGAGACAGAGGACAGAGGACAGAGGACAGAGGACAGAGGAAGAGACAGACAGAGAGAGGACAGAGGAGGACAGAGGACAGAGGAGGACAGAGACAGAGGAGAACAGAGGACAGAGGACAGAGGACAGAGGACAGAGGACAGAGGACAGAGGACAGAGGAGAGACAGAGGAGAGGAGAGACAGAGGACAGAGGAGAGAGGACAGAGGACAGAGGACAGAGGAGAGAGGACAGAGGACAGAGACAGAGGACAGAGGACAGACAGAGGAGAGGACAGAGACAGAGGACAGAGGACAGAGACAGACAGAGGACAGAGGACAGAGGAGAGGACAGAGGACAGAGGAGAGAGAGACAGAGGACAGAGGACAGAGGAGAGAGACAGAGGACAGTGGACAGAGGATAAGACAGTGGACAGAGGAGACAGAGGACAGAGGAGAGATAGAGGACAGTGAACAGAGGACAGAGGAGAGAGGACAGAGGACAGAGGAGAGAGGACAGAGGACAGAGGACAGTGGACAGACAGAGGATAGAGGACAGTGGACAGAGGACAGAGGAGGACAGAGGACAGAGGAGAGAGGATAGAGGACAGTGGACAGAGGATAGAGGACAGTGAACAGAGGACAGAGGAGAGAGGACAGAGGACAGAGGACAGTGGACAGAGGACAGAGGACAGAGGAGGACAGAGGACAGAGGAGGATAGAGGACAGTGAACAGAGGACAGAGGAGAGAGGACAGAGGACAGAGGAGAGAGGACAGAGGAGAGAGGACAGAGGACAGTGGACAGAGGACAGAGGACAGAGGACAGAGGACAGAGGACAGAGGACAGAGAGGACAGAGGACAGTGGACAGAGGACAGAGACAGAGGACAGTGGACAGAGGATGGACAGAGGACAGAGGACAGAGGGACAGTGGACAGTGAGGGACAGTGGACAGAGGACAGTGGACAGTGGACAGAGGACAGTGGACAGAGGAGGACAGAGGAGGACAGTGGACAGAGGACAGTGGACAGAGGACAGTGGACAGAGGAGGGACAGAGGAGGACAGATGGACAGTGGACAGTGGACAGAGGAGGACAGAGGAGACAGAGACAGAGGACAGTGGAGGACAGTGGACAGAGGACAGAGGACAGTGGACAGAGGACAGAGGACAGTGGACAGAGGACAGAGGACAGAGGACAGAGGACAGTGGACAGTGACAGAGGACAGTGGACAGTGGACAGTGGACAGTGGACAGAGGACAGAGGACAGAGGACAGAGGACAGAGGACAGAGGACAGAGGACAGTGGACAGAGGACAGAGGACAGTGGACAGAGGACAGTGGACAGTGGACAGAGGACAGTGGGACAGAGGACAGAGGACAGAGGACAGAGGACAGAGGACAGAGGACAGTGGACAGAGGACAGAGGACAGTGGACAGAGGACAGTGGACAGAGGACAGAGGACAGAGGACAGAGGACAGAGGACAGTGGACAGTGGACAGTGGACAGAGGACAGTGACAGACAGTGACAGAGGACAGACAGGACAGGACAGAGGACAGAGGACAGTGGACAGTGGACAGAGGACAGACAGAGGACAGAGGACAGAGGACAGTGGACAGAGGACAGAGGACAGAGGAGAGACAGTGGACAGAGGGACAGTGGACAGAGGACAGTGGACAGAGGACAGAGGACAGTGGACAGGGGACAGAGGACAGAGGACAGTGGACAGTGGACAGACAGAGACAGTGGACAGAGGACAGAGGACAGAGGACAGAGGACAGAGGACAGTGGACAGAGGACAGAGGACAGAGGACAGAGGACAGTGACAGAGGACAGTGGACAGAGGACAGTGGACAGAGGACAGTGGACAGTGGACAGTGGACAGACAGTGGACAGTGGGACAGAGGACAGAGGACAGAGGACAGTGGACAGTGGACAGAGGACATGGACAGAGGACAGTGGACAGAGGACAGAGACAGAGACAGGACACAGTGAGGACAGAGGAGAGAGGACAGAGGACAGACAGAGGACAGAGGACAGAGGACAGAGGATAGAGGACAGAGGACACAGGACAGAGGACAGAGGACAGTGGACAGTGACAGAGACAGAGGACAGAGGACAGTGGACAGAGGACAGAGACACAGAGAGAGAGAGGGACAGAGACAGAGGACAGTGGACAGAGGACAGGGACAGAGGACAGAGGACAGACAGAGGACAGAGGACAGAGGACAGTGGACAGAGGACAGACACAGAGGACAGAGGACAGAGGACAGAGGACAGAGGACAGAGGACAGTGGACAGTAGACAGAGGACAGTGGACACAGGACAGAGGAGAGAGGGACAGAGGACAGAGGACAGAGGACAGAGGACAGAGGACAGAGGACACAGGACAGAGGACAGAGGACAGTGGACAGTAGACAGAGGACAGTGGACACAGGACAGAGGAGAGAGGGACAGAGGACAGAGGACAGAGGACAGTGGACAGAGGACAGAGGACAGAGGACAGAGGACAGAGGACAGAGGACAGAGAGACAGAGGACAGAGGACAGAGACAGAGACAGAGACAGAGGACAGAGGACAGAGGACAGAGGACAGAGGAGATGACAGAGGACAGAGGACAGAGGACAGAGGACAGTGGACAGAGGACAGAGGACAGAGGACAGTGGACAGTGGACAGAGGAGAGAGGACAGAGGACAGAGGACAGAGGACAGAGGACAGAGGACAGAGGACAGAGGACAGAGGACAGAGGACAGAGGACAGAGGACAGAGGGACAGAGGACAGAGACAGAGAGGACAGAGACAGAGGAGAGAGGACAGAGGACAGAGAGAGACAGAGGACAGAGGACAGTGGACAGAGGACAGAGGACAGAGGACAGTGAGGACAGTGGACAGAGACAGAGGACAGAGGACAGAGGACAGAGGAGAGAGGACAGAGGACAGAGGACAGAGGACAGAGGACAGAGGACAGAGGACAGAGGACAGAGGACAGTGGACAGAGGACAGAGGACAGAGGACAGAGGACAGTGGACAGAGGACAGAGGACAGTGGACAGTGGACAGAGGAGAGAGGACAGAGGACAGAGGACAGAGGAGAGAGGACAGAGGACAAGAGGACAGAGGACAGAGGACAGAGGACAGAGGACAGAGGACAGAGGACAGATGGACAGAGGACAGAGGACAGGACAGGGACAGAGGACAGAGACAGAGACAGAGACAGAGGAGACAGAGGACAGAGGACAGAGGACAGAGGACAGAGGACAGAGACAGGACAGAGGACAGAGACAGGACAGAGGAGGACAGAGGACAGTGGACAGAGAGACAGAGGACAGAGGACAGAGGACAGAGGACAGAGGACAGTGGACAGAGGACAGAGGAGGACAGTGGACAGAGGACAGAGGACAGAGAGAGAGACAGAGGACAGAGGACAGAGGACAGAGGACAGAGGACAGAGGACAGAGGACAGAGGACAGAGGACAGAGGACAGAGGACAGAGGACAGAGGACAGTGGACAGAGGATAGAGGACAGAGGACAGTGGACAGTGGACACTCACCAGGTTGAGTGTGTTTCGTCCTGAGGCTCCTGCAGGTCTCACTCCTCTGGGCCCCAACTCAAACACAGCTCCATCAGACCTACGACACGACCAGAGCCACCCCCCGAACCGCCCGCTCTGCTCCAGAACCACCACCTGAAACACACCGAGTCACACCAGGTCACACCGAGTCACACCAGGTCACACCAAGTCACACCGAGTCACACCAGGTCACACCAGACCTACGACACGACCAGAGCCACCCCCCGAACCGCCCGCTCTGCTCCAGAACCACCACCTGAAACACACCGAGTCACACCAGGTCACACCGAGTCACACCAGGTCACACCAGACCTACGACACGACCAGAGCCACCCCCCGAACCGCCCGCTCTGCTCCAGAACCACCACCTGAAACACACCGAGTCACACCAGGTCACACCGAGTCACACCAAGTCACACCGAGTCACACCAGGTCACACCAGACCTACGACACGACCAGAGCCACCCCCCGAACCGCCCGCTCTGCTCCAGAACCACCACCTGAAACACACCGAGTCACACCAGGTCACACCGAGTCACACCAGGTCACACCGAGTCACACCAGGTCACACCAGACCTACGACACGACCAGAGCCACCCCCCGAACCGCCCGCTCTGCTCCAGAACCACCACCTGAAACACACCAGGTCACACCGAGTCACACCAGACCCACGACAGGACCAGAGCCACCCCCCGAACCGCCCGCTCTGCTCCAGAACCACCACCTGAAACACATCGAGTCACACCAGGTCACACCGAGTCACACCGAGTTACACCAGGTCACTCACACAGGTCACATCAGATCTCCCACACCAGGTCACCCACACCAGGTAAGATAAGATAAGATAAGATAAGATAATCCTTTATTGTCTCCCATGGGAGAAATTTGTCTTGGGACAGGGGGGTAACATGTTTTATCAAAAAAAACAGGACGACACAACACAAAGCAGCACATAAACAAACACCATAAAACAAAGTAAATATGAGACCAGTATGACCACGAGTGATGCACCAACACGACCCTTAAATTATCCTTAACAGGCCCTTGCATTCTTCTGTTCTATTAATTATTGCACATTCCCTAAGCCTATGTGCAGTTTTAGTTATAATTATTGCACATTCCCTAAGCCTATGTGCAGTTTTGATTGCACATTCCCTAAGCCTATGTGCAGTTTTGATTGCACATTCCCTAAGCCTATGTGCAGTTTTAGTTATAATTATTGCACATTCCCTTAGCCTATGTGCAGATTTAATTATTGCACATTCCCTAAGCCTATGTGCAGTTTTGATTGCACAATCCCTAAGCCTTTTATAATTATTTTTTGACTGCATTATCTGAGTTAAGCAATTTAACAGCTAGTGGTACAAAAGAATGTTTGAATCTGTTCAGTTTACAGTTTGGGACCTGAACCTTCTGCCTGATGGCATCAACTCAAACTGACTGTGAAGAACATGGGTTGGGTCATTGATCACCTTCCTGCCGAGCTTCCTCACAGTCTCCTCAAAAATTTGCTGAAGTGAGCTTGGGGCCACACCCATTATTTTACCTGCTCTTTTAGTCAAGGTCTTTTAGGAAAAAATCTGTGCTTTAAGTTTGACTGACAGGTCACCAAACCATGTTGACATGTCATAGCGTAAGATAGATTCTATGCATGTTTTATAAAACAACAGCATTACATTGGTGTCAACTCCATGTAACCTAAGCCGTCTTAAAAAATAGAGACGCTGGTGATTCTTGAGCAGACAGACTGTACCTGCTGGACCATTGGAGCTGAGAATCAAATAACACACCCAAGTACTTATAACATGTCACCTGTCACCCACACCGATCTCCCACACCAGGTCACCCACACCAGGTCACCACGCTAATCGCAAAATCAAATTCCACACAAAGGAACAGACTCGATACTCAATGCTGATTACAATACCCACACCAGGTCACACCAGGTCATCCACACGAGTCATGCCAAGTCACCCACTGTTGACCTGAAGTGTCACTGAGACTTTATTAGCATCGATATCTGTGAAAAATGAGGATCTAGTTTCGACTCATTTTAAAGCTGCAGTGTGGAACTTTCCAGTTTTATTCATCACATTTGTTTGTGTTGCTCTGTGAATGTGGGCGACTCTCCACAGATCTGACCTGTAATGTCGCCTCAGGTCATTTCCCTTCAGACAGACCTGAGAACTTTCTAGACAAAACCATAACTGAACCAGAAAAGTTACGCAATGCACCTTTAACACAGATGAGTGTCTGATGTGTGCCAGCGGTGCCAGCGGTGCCAGCCTCGCCCACGTTTACCTTTGCCCTGGCGCTCCGGCTCAGGTAGTAGGCGGCAGCCAGGCCCCCGATGCCCCCGCCCAGAACCGCCACGCTCCCCATGATGTCACGAGGTGGACGTCCACATCAGAGACTCGTCCTGAGGAGAAACACGACATAAACACGTTTTACACAAACACGTTTTAAACAAACACGTTCTGTCCAGTTTTCTGTCACTGAACTTAAATATCCACCATAAATGACACAAAAAGAGCAGAAATAAAGCTGCACTGTGGAACTTTTCGGCTTGGGGGTCCGTCACCTGCTTGTTTCTATGGAGACGTCACTGCTCTGTCTGGAATGTTCCGCATTGTGACTTTTAACAGCTCCACTTCACATTTAATCAATTACAGGAAGTTTTAGAGTCAAAAATTCTGCCTTCTGACTGTGAGCGGAGTCGCCTCTCCACAGATCTGATCTGACCTGGAACTTGACCTGGTTTGGTCTCCGTGGAGATAGAAAGGTTTAATGCCACACTGTGGAACATTCCAGACCAAAAAGCAACAACATCTAAAAGGAGAAAAGCACCAGGAAAGTGACACAAAGCACCGTTAAGTTCATAATATTTAAGATTTTACAAAGAAAGTTAAAATTGTCCAGTTTGTTAATTTTGTAGTTTTACAATTTGATTAAAATGATCCCAGTAGGAAATTCCATAACTGTTACCAAGGCAACCATAATGTAAACTGGACCAAAGCTCGTCCAGTGTGCACAGAGATGAACATTTGACAAATAAAAATGTAAGAAAACATGTTTATTTACATTGAGGGTCTGTCACCTACTTGTTTCTATGGATACTGTAAGTCCTTGTTCTGCCTGGAATGTTCCACAGTGTGACTTTAAACAGCTCGACTGCACATTTATTCAGTCATGATGGTTTTGGAGTAAAAAAAAAAACGAGAAAAACGGTGCAGTGCTGCTGGAGCTGGGTGTGACGGACACTCCCCAGAGGACGTGTCTGCTCCTTCAGATTAAACCACAACACAACAGACGCACAACAGACGCACAACACACACAACACACACACAACAGACACACACAGACACACAACAGACAACCACACACAACAGACACACAACAGACACACACACAACAGACACACACAGACTCACAACAGACACACAACAGAAACACACACAACAGACACACACAGACAGACACACAACAGACTCACAACAGACACACACACAACAGACACACAACAGACTCACAACAGACACACACACAACAGACACACAGACACACACAACAGACACACACAGTCACACAGACACACACAGACACACACACACACACACAGACACACACAGACACACACACACAGACTCACAACAGACACACAACAGACACACACACAACAGACACACACAGACACACAACAGACTCACAACAGACACACACACAACAGACACACAACAGACTCACAACAGACACACACACAACAGACTCACAACAGACACACACAGACAGACACACAACAGACAGACACACACACAGACACACACAGACACACAACAGACACACAACACACACACACACAACACAGACACACACAGACACACAACAGACACACAACAGACACACACAGACACACAACAGACACACAACAGACTCACAACACACACACACACAACAGACACACAACAGACACACACACACACAAGACACACAACAGACTCACAACACACACACACACACAACAGACACACACAACACACACACACACACACACACACAACAGACTCACAACAGACTCACAACAGACACACACAGACACACAACAGACACACAACAGACACAGACACACAACAGACACACACACACACAGACACACAACAGACACACACAGACACACACAGACACACAGACACAGACACACAACACACATTTGTTCAGTGTGTCAGTCGTCCCTGTTCCTGGGACAGTCTCAGTCCTGAGTCTGTGTCTCTGTCCCACAGATTTGTACAAAAACACAGATCTGCCCCAGTTTATACAAGAAAAGTCCCAGTGTCTCTGTTTCTGACCAAACTGATCCTGCAACAGTAAAAAGAAACAAACTGACATTTGATTTGGTAAAATACAGAAAATAAATAAATAAATAAAAATGATCAAAACACTAAAATAATTGTGACTCATTCATTTTGAATAAGTCAGGATTTGTCTCTGCAGAACAATTTTCCTTAATTTCACAATCGTTTTACAATTTTATTCTCACCAACCTCAAACAAACTGGGGAGGTTTATTTTGAAATTCTGGTTAAAAAAATGTAAAAAGTCAGATGTGTTCACAGTTCAGCTGTCCTCCCCCGACCCTCACAGGCACTGCAGGTCTGTCTGGGCTTTAGTCCAAACCCGGTCCAAACCCGGTCCAAACCCGGTCCAAACCCGGTCCAAACCCGAATCCAAACCTGGTCCAATTCAGGTCCTGTCCCTGGTCCAAACCTGGTCCAAACCCGGTCCAAGTCAGGTCCTGTCCCTGGTCCAAACCTGGTCCAGTCCTGTCCTCGGTCCTCACCGCGGGTTCCTGGTGCGCAGAGCGGGAGCAGTTCTCTGAAGATCCACGCAGGTCTTGGAGCTCGGGTCACGGAGCTCGGTCGGGTCACGGAGCTCGGGTCTCGGAGCTCGGGTCTCGGAGCTCGGGTCTCGGAGCTCGGGTCACGGAGCTCGGGTCACGGAGCTCGGGTCAGGGCGCGAGCGGCGCGTGGACATGATGCATAATAGCCGGACCCGCGCATGCGCACATGAACACGGAAACGTCAGAAACAAAAACTTTAAACGACGTAAATTTAAAGAGAGCGGATTTAAGTAATAAAACAGATCTTGAAACTTAAAAAGAAACACAAATGAATAAATAATAATAATAATAAATGGTAAAGATTTATTTCGTTTTTGTTTTGTTTTTTTCGGGTTTGGAACAGGATGTGGAAATGAGCGCAGCGCCTCCCGCAGGAGACACCGAGGAACTGCGTCTCCAACATCACAGGTGCTCAGATCAAACACAAGTTTTACTAAAAACAATTGTCATGTTGATTTATTCTGAATTATAAAAACACTGGACACGATGTTATAATTTGGTGTTTCGTTTTAAAAATGATTATTCACTTCAAATAAGACTCACGTGACTCTCGTTCAGTTGCAGGTTCAAAACTGAAATCCAGTGAGTTTCAAACATAAACCCTGAGTCTGTGCTAGTGCAGCTTCTGCAGCTCAGGGAGGGAACAGAGCTTTTTCACAACATCATCTGGAAGTGTCCCGCTTCTGGTTCATATTTTTCTGTGTAAATGAATTCTTTTGATGAACAATTTATCCACAACGATCAAGAGAAGAAAGAACAAAACTTAAAGGAAACGACGACGACACAACAACAAACTCAACTCATGTTCTGATCCTGAACAAAACAGAAGAACTTGTTCAGACTCGTTCTTCTGTTAATATTAAAAATCAGTTTCATCCATTTTCTTCCGCTCATCCAGAGTCGAGTCGTGAAGCATCAGTAATAAAAGCAGCAAAATAAATTTGATGATGTGGAGATTTTCACATTTTTAATGTTTGGAAAGTTTTGTGCAGTTTTATAAAACATGTTCCCACGTCTCACACCTTCACCAGACTCCAGAGGTGAGACTCGTGACTCGACTGGACTCGAGTCAGACTTGAATCATTATTTTTAGGACTTGAGACTTGACTTGATAAAATGGACAAAGACTTGGGACTCGACTCGGACTTGAGGCCTGTGACTTGAGAAACACTTTTAAACCTGAATTCTTTCTGTTCTGATGTAACGATTCACACGAAGATCTTGTCAAGACGTTTAAAAAAGAAAAATGAACAATTCTACAACTCAAATATCAATATAAATATACTAGGATTTTTTTAAGCACAATTTAATTTAAAATTCATATAAACTGCAAAAATCTAAACTGTATTTGGTATTTTTTGGTTTAAAGACTTGAAATGATTTGAAGCTCAAAGCAGACGACTTGGACTTGACTTGTTTTTATGGACCAGAGATTCGAGACTCGACTTGGACTTGACTGTATTTGACTTGGGACTTGACTTGGACTTGAGTTCAAAGACTTGAGACTTACAAAACGACGACTTGGTCCCAGCTCTGACAGAATCGTTTGGAGAATCATTTCAGACCTGGAGTTTTCGAAGGATCTGTTCACTTGAAAACCACCACTTGATGACATCACCAGGTGGAGCAGAGCGTTTGGAGCTTTACAGATGTAAACAGACGAAAAATAAAGTTTTACTCAAACACGTGAATGAAACAAAACAAAACTCTGATTTTGACGAGGAAAAAACCTTAAAGTTCACAGATTTTCTAAAAAGTTGTTTTCAAATAATTTCAACATTTTTCTCCTAAAGAGAAAAAAAATAAAACTCCAGAATAAAAACCTGATGACGTCATCTTCACCTGAACAGACCAGACCTGAGTCCAGACCTGAGACCAGACCTGAGTCCAGACCAGAGTCCAGACCTGAGTCCAGAGACCTGAGTCCAGACCTGAGACCAGACCTGAGTCCAGACCTGAGTCCAGACCTGAGTCCACCAGACCTGAGTCCAGACCTGAGTCCAGAGTCCAGACCTGAGTCCAGAGAGTCCAGAGTCCAGACCTGAGTCCAGACCTGAGTCCAGACCTGAGTCCAGACCTGAGTCCAGACCTGAGTCCAGACCTGAGTCCAGACCTGAGTCCAGACCTGAGTCCAGACCTGAGTCCAGACCTGAGTCCAGACCTGAGAGACCAGAGTCCAGACCTGAGTCCAGACCTGAGTCCAGACCAGAGAGTCCAGACCTGAGAGACCTCCAGACCAGACCAGAGTCCAGACCTGAGTCCAGACCTGAGTCCAGACCTGAGTCCAGACCTGAGTCCAGACCTGAGTCCAGACCTTTGTCTTGAGACCAGAGACCAGACCTGAGTCCAGACCAGAGTCCAGAGTCCAGACCTGAGACCAGAGACCAGACCTGAGTCCAGACCTGAGTCCAGAGTCCAGACCTGAGTCCAGACCTGAGTCCAGACCTGAGTCCAGACCTGAGTCCAGAGTCCAGACCTGAGTCCAGACCTGAGTCCAGACTGAGTCCAGACCTGAGTCCAGACCTGAGAGAGTCCTGAGTCCAGACCAGGTCCAGACCAGGTCCTGAGTACCAACAAGACACTGAACATTTACCAGAAAAGTTACACAGTGCGTCTTTAAACAGGAGACTCAGGTCTTCGTGGTTAAATTTTTGCTCTGATGTTGAAGTCGCTGAAGGAGAAACTGGATTTAAAAACAAACCTTTTTACTTTAGTTTAATCATAAATATAAACTTAAAGAAACTGGACGGAACCTTCGCTCTGAGACTCAGACGTTTGTTCAGGTTCAGGTCCAGATCAGAGATTTTAGGTTAAACTCACCGGAATTCAACTTTGAGTCGTGTCCAGCAGGAGACTCCAGGTCACCAAGTCAAACACAGACAAGTCCAAGTCGAGTCTCGAGTCTCTGGTCCATAAAACCAAGTCAAGTCCAAGTCAAGTCCAAGTCGTCTGCTTTGAGCTTCAAGTCATTTCAAGTCTTTAAACCAAAAAAATACCAAATACAGTTTAGATTTTTACAATTTATATGAATTTTAAACTAAAGTCCTGGTTTATTTATATTTGAGTATCTATATATCATTGTAGAAATGTATTTAGTTATTTTGTCTTTTTTAAATGTTTTGACAAAATGTCAGTGTGAATCTTTACATCAGAACAGAAAGAATCCAGATTTAAAAATGTTTAAAAACAGTTATTTTGTGGTGTGTTTCCACTGAAACAGAAGGATCAGGTTCTGTGTAGTTCTTTGTTTTACTCTATTGTACTTTACATTTCTGTATATTACTGTGTTGTACTGTTAATACTGTAGTACTTTTGAGTATTGCAGTACTTCAGGTCCATCCAAAGTACAAACAGAAGTGGGAGCCACATGTTCCAGTTTGTTTCTGTTAAATTCAGCGTCGCATTTATCGACTGAAAATAGAAAAGGATTTGATAAAAACATGGATTTTTAAGGAGAAACATCGTCCGAGTCAAGTCCCGAGTCACTGAGCTTCAAGTCCGAGTCAAGTCCCAAGTCACTGAGCTTCAAGTCCGAGTCAAGTCCCAAGTCACTGAGCTTCAAGTCCGAGTCAAGTCCTAAGTCACTGAGCTTCAAGTCCGAGTCAAGTCCCAAGTCACTGAGCTTCAAGTCCGAGTCAAGTCCCAAGTCACTGAGCTTCAAGTCCGAGTCAAGTCCCAAGTCACTGAGCTTCAAGTCCAGGTCGAGTCCAAATCTTAGTCCATTTTATTTTAGTTCTAAAAATAGTGACTCAAGTCTGACTCGAGTCCAGGTCGTGACTCGCAGGTCTCACCTCTGGTCAGTGAGACTCGTTCTGATCGAAGATCGTCTCAAACCAAAACATCAAATTAAAACAGAAACAACTTCAACCGTCACGTCCAGAGGTTTTGTGATTCTAAATCAGCATCTAAATCATTTGAACTCAGATCATGATTTTTGAATCTGAAATCAAAGTTTCACAGACAGTTTCTTTAAAGTTTAAATCTCCAACATCCCACGGCCCAGACTCCTGCGAGAGGAACATCTCACTCTGATGTTTCTCCTCAAAAACAAACCTGGAGTTTTGTTTGTTTCATTCTCACCTCGACACACTGACACCTGTAAAGATCTAAACGCTCTGTTCCACCTCGTGATGTCATACAGTGGTAGTTTTTTGAACAGCTCCTTTTCCTTTTAGTTCAGTCGAGATTTGTAATTCCAGGTTTGAAATCGTCCACATGAACCAAAACCTGCAGATTTGTGTCAAACGTGAGAAGGAAACTAAACTACAGAGTAAAAAACTGTCAGGAAAATTCAGAAAATAAATGTTGTTAAACTCTGGATGAGTCGAGTCGAACAGAAAATGTTGTGTGGATTTTATCATCAGAATATGAACTGAAAAGTCCTAGTTTAGTCCTGATTTAGTCCTGGTTTAGTCCTGGTTTAGTCCTGGATTAGTCCTGGTTCAGTTCTGGTTTAGTCCTGGTTCAGTCCTGTTTTTGGTCCTGGTTAGTCTGGATTTAGTCCTGGTTTAGTTCTGGTTCGTTCTGTGAAGTGTTGTTGTATTTTTGAGTCTCGTTTCGTCTGTAAATTCATGTTCATACAGAAAAAAAGCAAAATTGTAAATTTCCATTTCACTTACAAACAAATATGAACAGATTTAAATTTTACACAAATGAATCTTTCTGAAACACAAATCCAGAAACTCCAGGTTTGTTTGTGACGAAGAAACGACATCAGATTAAAACAAAAATCAGAAAATATCATAATAGGAGCCGTTTAATCAGACCTTTTTATTCGAGGAAACAAAAGAGAAACTCAAACCAAACGTTGAACATTCGTCGAAGTTATTCTGATAAATCTTACCTGTGGCTCCTAAACCCGGACACACGCTCCCGGGCACATGTCCCGGGCACATGTCCCGGGCACATGTCCCGGGCACATGTCCCGGGCACACTCTGGTCCAGAGGCTGTGACCTGTGTGTGTGTGTGTATGTGTATGTGTGTGTGTGTGTGTGTGTGTTGTGTGTGTTGTGTGTGTCTCTGTGTGTGTGCGTGTGTCTCTGTGTGTGTGTGTTGTGTGTGTGTGTGTCTCTGTGTGTGTGTGTGTATGTGCGTGTGTGTATGTGTGTGTGTGTCTCTGTGTGTGTCTGTGTGTGTGTCTCTGTGTTTGTGTGTCTCTGTGTGTGTGTGTGTGTGTGTGTGTGTGTGTGTGTGTGTGTCTCTGTGTGTGTGTGTGTGTGTGTGTGTGTGTGTGTGTGTGTGTGTGTCTCTGTGTGTGTGTGTCTCTGTGTGTGTGTAGTGTGTGAGTGTGTCTGTGTGTGTGTATGTGTGTGTGTGTGGTGTGTGTATGTGTGTGTGTGTTGTGTGTGTGTGAGTGTCTCTGTGTATGTATGTGTGTGTGTCTCTGTGTGTGTGCAGTGTGTGTGTATGTGTCTCTGTGTGTGTGTCTCTGTGTGTAGTGTGTGTGTGTGTGTGTGTGTGTGTGTGTGTGTGTGTGTGTGTGTGTGTGCAGTGTGTGTGTGTGTTGTGTGTGTGTGTGTGTGTGTGTGTGTGTGTGTGTGTGTGTGTGTGCAGTGTGTGTGTGTGTGTCTCTGTGTGTGTGTGCAGTGTGTGTGTGTGTGTCTGTGTGTGTGTCTGTGTGTCTGTGTGTGTGTGTGTGTGTGTGTGTGTGTGTGTGTGTGTGTGTGTGTGTGTGCAGTGTGTGTGTGAACCAGCAGGGGGCAGAGTCGCGCAGACAGAGAAATGCATGAAACACAGCTGCCGTTTACTTTGGTGTGCAAAAGTATACTCTTTATTCTTATTCTTATTATATATCCAACTTTTATTTGAGCCCACCCCATCCCTCGCCCCCCCCCAACCAGTGGCATTCCCCTGTCACCAGCACCTGTCACTATTACAATAGCCAATCAGAGCTCACCTGCTGAAGAAGGCAACCAAACATAGAAGAGCAGAAAAAAGGGTTACTTTGACTTGTTCTTGTTAAATAGTTATAAATACATTGAGATGCAGTGGTTCTTCCGTCTCCGTTTGTCAGAAGGTTCTAGAGTTCCGTCGCACTCATCTCTTTCTCGTATCTTTATTGATCTGTGTTGTGTCGTTAGCAGCAAATCCGGACCAGTCGTCGTCGTCATGGTGATTAGCAGCACAGAGAGGAGGAGGAGTCTGGAGGAGGACGCAGGAGGAGGAGACGAGGAGAGCGCCGGCCGCGCGCGGGGCCCGAGCGCGGGGCCCGAGCGCACGCGGGGGGGCGGAGCGAGCGGGGGGGGGGCCCAAGCACACAGGGACCGGAGGGGACCAGAGCAGGGGCCACTACAGCGACTGACCTCTACAGGGGCCTCTACGCTGTGGACAGGGCCGCTACAGGGGCCACTGAAGAGGCCTCCACACTGCCAACAACACAGACGCCCAGAGCCGCTACGGGGGCCAGTGCAGGGGCCAGTGCAGGGGCCAGCGCAGGGGCCGCTACAGCGACCTGCAGGGGCCTCTAAGGGGCCTCCACGCTGCAGACAACACCCATGCATGGGGCCGATACAGGGGCCAGTGCAGGGGCCACTACAGTGACTGACCACTACAGGGGCCCCTAGTGTCCCCTACAGTGATCACCACAGGAACAGTGACCACTGTAGGGGCCACTAGAGACAACAGGAGGGGCCCCTGCAGAGTCTGGGGTCACTGAGAGGTCAGAGGTCAGAGGTCAGTGACTGTGATAATAAATAATGTGTTTTACAGACGAGACGATGAAACGCAGAGAAACAGAACAAATGTGAAAGAAGCGACAAAAAGAAAAAAAGAAAAGACGCCGCGAGCGAAAGAAACGACGCGGCGCCGCACTCGGACCGGACGCTCCCGTCTCCGCCTCCTCTCCAGGCATCAACCAATGAGAACACACAACTCCTCAAACACAGAAATCAACTCAGAGTCAACAACAAGAATATGAAGGAAAGTAACTGGTCACAGCCGTTCCTTGAGTTACAATCACCACAAAAGCTCGTCTCCTCCTCTCATGCACACCACGGGGTCGGCACGGGGCCGCGCGTCTCTCAACTGGGCGGGATGTGGGGGTATGGCTTTAGGGCGCGCTTCAGGGTTTATCAGGAGTTGGCGGGCCCCTCGTCCGAGTCCGGCCTGGCCCTGCCCCCCCCTGGCGCCGCGGGGTTATTGTTGTTGGAGGCGGGGTAATAGTCCTCGGGGGGCGGGGCTTGAGGCCCGGGGGCGTTGGGGGCCGCGCGAGTCCGGAAGGCGGACAGTCCGATGGGCAGGCCCAGCGGCAGGGAGGCGGAGCCGAACTGAGACGCGTCCACGGAAGAGACCGCCCCCAGGTGGTGCAGCCCCAGAGACACGCCCACGTCCATGCTGTCGCTCATCTGCGGGGAGCCCGGGCCCCCGCCGCCCTGCCCGCTCTGTCGGGGGCCCCGGCCGCCGTTACTGTGGTGCGGGTACGAGGGGTGGGGGTGGTGCGGAGCGTCCAGGAAGTGGCGCTGGTGCTGCTGCGACGCGGCGGGTTTGTGGAGCAGCAGCTGCGTGTAGGCGCCGTCCTGACCCCCGACCCCGACCCCGACCCCGCTGTCGCTGCCCGGCCACATCCTCATCTGAGTCTGAGAGGGGGCCTGAAACACAGGGGGCACCTGTCAGAGGGGCACCTGTCACAAGGGCGCCTGTCAGAGCAGGTTCACCACAACAGGAGACAGAGAGAAGAGGGGACGACAGGAGCAGGGAGGAAGGAGAGGGGGGGGGTGTTGGGGGACAGGGGGACAGGTGGTGGACAGGTGGACAGGTGGTGGACAGGTGGTGGACAGGTGGACAGGTGGACAGGGGGACAGGGTGGACAGGTGGACAGGTGGTGGACAGGTGGACAGGGGGACAGGGGACAGGTGGACAGGTGGACAGGTGGTGGACAGGTGGACAGGTGGACAGGTGGACAGGGGGACAGGTGGACAGGGGGACAGGTGGGACAGGTGGGGACAGGTGGACAGGTGGACAGGGGGACAGGGGGACAGGTGGACAGGTGGTGGACAGGTGGACAGGGGACAGGGGACAGGTGGACAGGTGGACAGGTGGACAGGTGGACAGGGGGACAGGTGGACAGGTGGACAGGGGGACAGGAGGACAGACAGGTGGACAGGTGGACAGGTGGACAGGGGGACAGGTGGTGGACAGGTGGACAGGTGGTGGGGACAGGTGGACAGGGGGACAGGTGGGACAGGGGGACAGGTGGACAGGTGGTGGACAGGTGGACAGGTGGACAGGTGGACAGGGGTGGACAGGGGGACAGGTGGGACAGGTGGACAGGTGGACAGGTGGACAGGGGGACAGGGGGACAGGTGGACAGGTGGACAGGTGGACAGGGACAGGGACAGGTGGACAGGTGGACAGGGGGA